TCTAAGAATTGGTAAGCTGTAATAATAAATATTTGCTTTGGGGTTTAATAACGCTATATGTTTAAGGTGGATTCTTATATAATTTTTTTACATATACAGTCGGAACGTTACAAGGCGGGTTAACTTACATTGTAAAGCGCTGAGCAAACTGTTGGCGTTATATAAATCCTGTATAATAATAATAATTTTCATCCATTGGCTTATAAGGATAAAAAGGGCAATAAAAAGCAAATCAGGCAATAAAATAATTGAAAGAAAATATCAGGAAATGAAAAGCAGATGTAGCTCCCATTAGTGGCCGGGGCATGCTGGGTGTTGCAGTGCCGTGGGAGTGTTCACGGCGCACCCCTCCTGCTCCACCCCTTTACAGTATAAATTTAGATCTGTTCTATTTTTGAAAATGAATACAAAACCGCAGGAAAAAAAAAAAAAGTTTTGACCCTTTTCCAGAGAAAGACACGTGACTCCAGCCTGCAGTACAGAGGGGGAGGTCAGGGCTTTGTCTACATAGTGATTTTAATTACATCAGCATGTTCTGTGCAAGTTCCTTCTTCAGCCTCCTTGCCCTGACGGGACCCTTGACATATTTTTCAGGTCTCAAGGAACCCCTGCTAAAAATAATTATATCTACACTTCACGGTAAATTAGCATGATCACCAGCTTGTAGAGCATTTTAAATATTGGAATACTTGATATGGCATACTCAGCATATTTGAAAGCCGGGTAAAACTATGTTTCCAGGCTCATTTACAATTGCAGCCAGGCAGCGGTAAAAATAGGTAGTTGAGCTTTAGTTTTACAACCCTCCCCCAACACCCAGCCAGAGCAAAAATGATACCTCCAGCACATTTGGCAGGCAGTACCGACGCTGACTGTAACCCATTCAAGTATCGCAACCACTGTGGATCGCCTTTCAGGAGGGCCAATGGATAATAACAGCAAAGAAATGCAGAGGGTAGGACTCGTTCACACGGGCATACTTGAGCACACACCCATGTGAGGGCCATGCTTGCTTGTACAGTATGCATCCACGTGCAGGCAGTCTCATTCATGTCAATAGGGATGCGGCAACTGCACGGACACAGCCGCTGCTTCCAATTTGACATCCATGAGGATGCGGGTGCAGGCAGGTGCATGTCCCCAAACTCACACTATCTGCGCTTGGGGACACGCACCTGCATCCACAAGGATGTCAAATTGGGAGCAGTGACTGTGTCCATGCAATCGCTGCATCCCAATTGATAGAAATGGTACTGCCTGCACGTGGATGCACAGTACGTCCTGTACAAGCAAACGTGGCGCTCACATGGGTGTACGCTTAAGTACGCCCGTGTGAATGAGGTCTAAAGGCTTATTCACAAGGATAAAAATAATACCACAGCAAAAATTAAAACAAATCATAAAATACCATCAGTGATAAAAATATATATATGTACAGTATCTCTTACAGACGGTGAGGGTAAAGGTGATGGACTGGCCAAGCATGTCGCCAGACCTAAACCCTATTGAGCATCTGTGGGGCATCCTCAAACGGAAGGTGGAGGAGTGCAAGGTCTCTAACATCCATCGGCTCCATAATGTCGTCATGGAGGACTGGAAGAGGACTCCAGTGGCAACCTGTGAAGCTCTGGTGAACTCCATGCCCAAGAGGTTTAAGGCAGTGCACAAAATATTGACACTTTGGGCCCAATTTGGACATTTTCACTTAGGGGTGTACTCACTTTTGTTGCCAGTGGTTTAGACATTAACCTCCCTAGCGGTATGATTATTTCAGATTTTTGGTGCTGAAAGCACCATTTTTTTTGCATGGAAATATGTCGTTTTTTTTTTTTTTTTTTTTTTATTGTAGGCCTGTAATTTAGGAATAACTCACTGAAATCTGTCCGAACAAGAGTCTAGTAAACATCCCGGTATGATAAAACTTGAAACACGAAATCATAAATTATAATATAATAAATAATCATAAAAAATAACAATATAATAATAATAAATTTAATTCAAATATAATCAAACCAAAAACACTGAAATTTGAAATATAGCGCCAAGTTCGCACATCGCTGAGCAAAGTCGCAAAATCGTTTTCAGTGTCTGATGATGAATTTCCCCACAAATCATTATCACTCAATTCTGCAAGTGGTTCTGATTTACTATCGCTGTTCTCTAGCCGGTCTAAAACCGATTTTGACCTAAAGGGACGCTTTTTTGGACGCCATGGACATTTCTCAGTTTCCAGGCAGAAAGAACAGTCCAAATGCAGGCAGGGCGCCGGACAAAGCAGTAGGGACAAAATGTATGTGAAATGCTTTGAAACAGCAATGTTTTACTATGTAATAATCGTTTAAAAAAAAGAGTAATTTTTTTAAATTTTCAAATTTGCCACCGGTTCCGGCACCCGTACGTCCCGACGTCACAGGGACTGGAACACGGAAGCCGGATGCCGGCATCGGCCGGAGGAGATGGCCGGGGACGCTGCAGGGGACACATTGCGGGAGTGAAGGAC